ACATAAATATTTGTTGATAATGAAGATTAATAGTAAAAGTAAAAAAGATATATCCATATATATATAATTTTTAAAAATATTACCTTCAAATATTACTCCATCTTAATTCCACGTGCCATGTTTGATGGATGACAGTTATCAGTTATCTCCTGCTAATTTTCCCTCTGAAAGTTCTCCACTGCCTTAACCAGGAATTGAACTCACCTTCTTTGGGTCTGTCACTGGATCTAACCAACGCCTATATCCACTGTGCCATGTGTCCTTGAGGACACATGGCACAGTGGAACAGTCTACCCCAGCGATCGAAATAAAGGGTTCAGTTCGAAATTCCAACCACCTGAAGAAGGCCGGAGCGTACAACGGCCGAAACGTTGTGACAAATATGGCGACAAAGATGAGGACAATAGTCCGACTAATGTAAATACTGTATCAGTCTTTCCATATGTAATTATTATAATTTTTTCCATAATGCAAATATTGCATTTGTCCCTGAAGTTGTTGGGAGTTCGAGATTTACATATGATCCTCCATTTTATTTGTGGGATGAAGCCTCCATCTTTGATATTTCAGTACTGTTTAGACAAAGCTATTAGGTATCTCAAAGACGCATTGTTGAAGGAATGCCGGTGAATGTAAAAACCTCGCTTCCAACATCCAGCTACGTATACATTTATGGGGGTGATATTTTCCTTCGGAAAAATAGTTGCTTCATATACTACATTTTCCGAAGTACAAATACACCCATCTGGGCATTCAGCTGATATATATATATATATATATATATATATATATATATATATATATGAAAGTGAACATTGAAGTCAACACTTAGAGACGACAGGCTTTTTTCATGCTAGACGCAATCGCCAGGCCACGAGTGCTGTTTTGTTTTCTCGGCTATTTATATATACGGGTCAATGGTGCATTGTGGGTAGTCTATTATGGCGTTTATTTTCCGTAAGTCGTTTATTTGTTTATTTATTTATTTGGTTTAGATTTTTTTGCTTGTTTTTATTTATTTTTTATTTTTATTTCTTATCTTATATATATATATTTATTTATTTTTTATTTTAATTGGTGTTTTTATTAACGTAGTAAAAATTTGTTTCTATCGCTTTTTTAATATTTTTGTTTAGGGTTGGGAAGATAAAGCTATTTATTCAATTTTGGGGTTGATTGCTGTAGTTTATTCTAACTATTATTTTGGCGGGAGTAGTTTTTAATTTGTTTATTACTTGATTTATTTATTTGGATTGATTATCTTGTTTTGTCTAACGATTAATTTATGGGTTTGTTAGTTTGTTTATTTATTTGGATTAATTTAGATTAATTTATTTTACTTGTTTTTTATTATTTATTTATTATACTGTATATTTTTATTTTTCGATTTTTTTAGTAACGTAGTTTTTTATCGTTATATAACAGTTATAGCTATGTTTTTCGTCCGATTTTTGGTTTGATTTTTATAGTCTAACTAATATTTGGTCATAATGGTTTGTTAATTTGTTTATTATTTACTTTATTTGGGTTCATTGATTTTGTTTTTTATTTATTCTATTTTGTCTATTCTAATGAGTGTGATTTGGTAATTTGTTTGGGTTAATTTATTTTACTCATTTTATTGTCATTTTGTTTATTTTATTTTAAATTTTTTAATTTTTTTTCAGTTTTTGATTGTTAAGTAATGTACTAAAAATTTGTTTTCATGTCTGCATTTTGAGATGAGCTCGTATCTTTTACTTAATAATTTATTTTGGTCTGATAGCTATTTTTTTCTACAAGCAAAGTTTGCAAATTTTGGACTGGTTGTTTATATATATATATATATATACACACACGCACACACACAGACACACACACACACACACACACACACACACACACACACACACATATATATATATATGTGCATTGTATGAATACAGCTATATCAATATTTATTCTTCAATAAATTGATTGAATTGCTTTCCTTTATAAATGTTATGCTGTACGTTTAATTTCAGTTAGGTTTAGCTTTTCTAGAGGTGTTGTTTAAGGGCTGACTTTATTTCACCAAATTATGGCTATTTAGGATTCCACACTTTCGTAGCCAGGCGGTTCTATTTCACATATTTCTGTCAAATCAACTACAATGCTTTTTATTAACACTATTCCTGAAGAAATATTTCATGTTCTTTTTTTTCTCTGTCTCCAGCGTTTGTGCCAATTTTCCAGCCACCATTTTTCTTTTTCTGCGCCATTTTCATTTTCTTTTTTGGTCATTTCGCTTTTTACAGAGAAGGTGATTGGCATTAAGGGAAAATAATTTAAACGAAACAGTTTATCTATTACTATTTTCAGTTATTTACAATGTTTACGATAATCTCGTGAGTAAAGAACGCGAATCAAAATTGACTGAAAAGCGCCTCTGCAGACTCGAACTTTCACTCTTTTTGCCCCCAGAAGCCGACTTATCTATGGACTTTGCCACACCGATCGAGCAAGCAGTGCTATTAGGGATGACTGCAAATCTAACACTTAAATTTCTATTTTTATTTGATCCTTCGGCGCCATATTTGTTATTTTTATAGATACAATAACAGTATTAATAATGTGATTAAGGAGTGAGAACAAGAAAATAACAGGAATTAAGTAACGATTGACATTGTATTTAAATTTTTGAAGATCAAAATTGACTGGAAAGCAAGAACCAGAGTTCCACAAGTTAGAAGTGCGAGAGAAGAAACTGTTAGAATAGATCTTACGGTTACATGTCGCCTTTTCAACTGCAAAATGATGAGACCTTCCCTAGTAATGTGTTTAAATTTATAAAGCCTGGGTGCCATAGGGGAAAGTTCATCAGAACATTTACCATGAAATTATTTATAGAAAAAGTATAGAGAAGCTTACGTCGGTGTGGAAAATTACTGAAGTCGAGATTCCAGGTCAGGACCAATGACATCGCAGGTTCTTCTTTGAATTAAACTTATATTTTATTTTTTGTAAAAACCATCATTGGAACTGCGGAATAATAATAATAATAATAATAATAATAATAATAAGAAGAAGAAGAAGAAAAGTTTATGTGTGAGAGCGTCATGACCGGATATCAAGAGAGTTGTCTTTTTTTTTAAATTTTGAAGGATGAGGCAGCTAAGGAGACATGGCAGTCAAATCTAGATACTTGGGAACACCTTTAATCGACTTTTTTTTATAACTGTTCAGCCAGTAGAACCCCTGAAGGTAGAGAGTTACTGAATGTGATGATTGCATGAACGTAAAAGGAGGCGGTAAGAAGTGCAGTTTAATATATAGAGAAGTTTTGTAATGTCAACGAATACTCGTTGTAACTTTCATGATGCTCGTTGTAGTAGAGACTTTGTAATCACAGATACAACTATAGTAACGCCGTTGAACAATACTGGTGTTATACGCCTTCGAATAACACCCGCACAAATAGTACTTGCTCGATAATACTCGCTCGAAAAGTAACCATCGAATAGAGATCAGTATAGATAATAGCGTAGAGAAGAGAATCACCAATCGTATAGTAATAGAGGATACAATTGCTCTCTTGCGATCCGTGTTCAAATTCCAGTTTCGGCAGTGACACTTTATTCCTATATGACTAGAAGATAACAGTTAACCCTAAATTTGAAGTGGTTAGGATTGTAGTGATCGGAGAAGCATCCTCTTGGGAGTTCTTAAGAAGAAGCTGTCTGATGGAACTTCCTCTTTACTAATGGAATAGGAAGAGAATGTGGATGATTCGTCCCTGTGTACTGACATGGCGGGTTTTAGTTGTGAAGGTTAAAACAGGAGGAACCAAGGAATGTAATTCGTCAGAACATTTGCCGTGGAAATAGCGATAGAGTAGTGAGAAGCTTGCGACGACTGGTCAGTGCGATAGATGCCGTCGAGTGGAAATAATTCATCGCACACAGACGCTTCTGAACTCTATCAAAACTGAAAGGAGTGGACCGGATAAATCCGACCCAGGTATGGGAGTATTATTGTCTGATACTGATTTTCTTGTAAAGATAAAGCACAACAGGAGGAGTCATGTACTTACTGGAGACGTTCAATGAAACAGCCATTTTCCCAGTATCTTTAGCAATGGATCGTATATAGAGTTCTATGTGAGGTCTGGAGTGAACTTGCGTCTCAATAGCCGTTTAAGTCCAGGAGCCTCCTTGAGAGAACAATTATCCATCATGAAAGGGAAAATTCAGGGTCTGCGAAGTGATTATGGAACTTTACCATTTTGGTTTACGAGATATTGAATGTTACAAGCCATATTTCCTAAAGATATACATATATTCTTAGGTGGTAATATAAAGTAGAAAGAACGTAAGACTGAGAAGAGAACCTTGAGGAAAGTCTGCTAACTATACACCACTTGTAAGTTTATTTTGATACTATTGACCTTTAGTGACTAGTTGTCCAATTTTAACAACGAAAGAGTACAAAGATAGACATGATAAGATTGGCGAGAATATTCATTGGAAGATATGTCAATATTAAGTTTACAATATAAAAGAACAGACAAGAACATAAACAAAATCAATAGCAGTTTCTATTTGCAAGAGATTAAAAAAGATTGCCTTGTGTAGAATTGTCACAGGGGATGTAAAGAAAATGTAAACACTGTATATGTTAAGTATTACTTAACATCAGACTTTATGCAAACTGAATTCAGATATCTACCTCCTTCACATAACTTAATGCTGACTGATGATTTTCTTTATCGGCATATCAACATCTACGGGTTATTTACTACCAAAATTTAAATATTTTGCACGCGATTTTATTTTATTTTTTGTTGGGGAGATAATAATTGTGCTAGTGATTCACCCAATTCTTACTAATTAACCCATAGCAAGAGGGAGAAGAGGTAAGTTTATACCGTTCCCAAGAATACATTCGTGTAAGTGAATATAACGAACCCAACTGGAATTGGAACTCGGCTCTCCGATTACCAATTCCGTGCTATCAGCCATTACACCGGCCGCACATCCAAGCTTACAGCACCCAGTATGCCCAAGTGGTTACCCATCTAGGTATTGACCAGGCTCAACGTTGCTAAACTTCGGTGATCGTATGAGAACCAGTATTTTAACGTAAGCCCTTAACTTAAGTCTCAGGTAATGAACCGGTAACGGGTTGTACTGGACAGAAAGCGAACTACTATAGCTGCAACAACAACAACAACAACAACAATAATAGTTATTATTATAATAATTAGCAGGAGTAATTAATACAATAGGGTGATGACAAATTAAAGAGAAAAACTTAAGAAAGCCAAACCTTGACTGGGAAGAAGCAATCACTCTTCAAAGTGTACCAGAAATTTGAACAAAACAAACAATGGAAATGTCTAGACCCAACGTTGTTGCTCGGGTTAGCGAGAATATTGAGAGAATAGTTTGAAATTTGAGGAAACATGATGTCATTCAATTTCTTCAGACATCTGGTATGAACACACACATGCACACACGCACACATTCATATATATGTGTGTTGTGCGTGTTCATACCAGATGTCTGAAGAAACTGAATGACATCATATTTCCTCAAATCTCAAACTATTTTCTCAATAGGAACACACACACACACAAAAAAAGTGTGTGTGTATGTATAAAAGTTTTGTGACGCGTTTCATCTGTTCGGACTTCATTAGACTTGGTTTGTTTACGTTCTTGAGACTACACATACGCACGAACATAAAAATGCTACTGCTAAAGTAAAAATGCTAAAATGCATTGACAGTGCTTTAATCGTTAGTTAATCTACAGTAAATTTACGTCCAGGTTCTTATAACATTTCACCATTCTTGGCAGACTTTCTATGAAATATTTAATAACAAAGATGGATGGAAAGAAAAAGAAAAAGAAGTTAGATGTAGGCAAAATTGTAAAAAAATAAACAAAACAACAACAAAAAAAGAACGATTTTTAAATTTTGCATCTCCCAGTGTCTCTCGCTCGTGTACGTGTTTAGTTTTCTTCTTCTTTTATGTGCTGTGTCCTTTCAAGACGTAGGCGATCATGACCCTCCACATCTTCCTGTTCCTTGTAGCACTTAATAAGTTTTTTTTTCATTATTTATCCCAAGCCTTATTCCTCTATTCACTTACTCATGCTCATTATGTATGTCACTCGTTGCTTTCTCCTGTCCTTCTTTCCCTCTATCCGTCCTATGAGTATCAGATTTTCCAAGCCTTCCTTACTCATTACGTGTCCTACAAATTTCAACTGCCTCTTTTTGATATTAAGTATAATTTTTCTTTTTGTTTGCATTTTCTTTAAAACCTTTCCTTTGCTCACATGTTCGTCCCATGATATTCTCAGTATCCTTCTGTAGAACTACATTTCTGTTCCTTTGAGTCTCTTCTTCATCTTTGAGTAGATTCTATATTATCTATTGCCATACAGGAGGACAAATAACACGTAACATTTCAGAACTCTTTTCCTTTGTTTCCAACAAAATTTTCCTTTTGATATACGTCTTTGGCCATCGCAATAGGTCTTCGAATCTCAGTGTCACACTTCATGTGTAGTCCCAAGAACATAAAGAACAGAAACAAATCCATTCCGATGAAGTCGTAACGGATGAAACGCACCACAAAACTTTTTACAATTTATCATACATCTTTTCTTTCAAATTTGTTTTTGATATATAAAAAAGTATATATCGATATCTACTACTTCTACTACTAATGCTACTACTACTATTACTGTGAAATGTATTGGAGATTTAAAAACTTATCATTACATCGTTTTTAACAATAACATCCAGATATCAGTTGTGACAATGCCAATAATAATAATTGAGATAGGATATCCCAAATTCATAGTAAAAGTAAACGATTTCATTGATCACTTAAAAGAGAAAATTGGAATTGCAGTTTAAATTACGCGAGTATGATTGGGCAGAGGACACGCAAAAAAAGAAATAGAATCTTTAATAAAAAAAATGACAAAAAATGAAGTGAAAAAAAAAAATAGGCACTTCTCCGGTCGTAGGCATCATTGCTCTTCACAACCTTCTAACCTCTGTAGCGCTAACCAATGTTTGTCACCTTACTTTCCCACACATTCCGTGTTCTGCTTGCCATTACATAAGGGCTTCAGGTATGGTACCCACTGTTTCTACCTGCCTTTAATATGTCATGTTTGAAGACACCTAGAAATAGTAAACGTCTCTTAGATTAGTTGTGACGTTGAAATTAAAAATGTGGGAACTTTTTTAACAAGAGATGTGATATGTGACACCGAAATCCGAAAAGATTAGAGTAGCAAAATATGCCTTCCAAAAATTAATCAAGGCATTAAGAAACATGAAAAAAATAGAAACATTGCTAAAAGTTAGAAAGGATAGGAAATTGTGGAGAGCCGTGATCGGTCTCGTCCTGAAGAGAAACAACACATAGAAGAATGGAACAGTTGGCAGAGTCCCAGATAACCGGAAAAAAGTGAAATGAAAATGCAAACGCATTATTAAAAGAGGCAACAGCGGTGAATGCAAGATCAATGAGGAGAGTTGATGTCGTTCTCCAGCAAATTCATCTGCTCTGAAAACTTAAAATAAATGCAGAGAAAAGTGCAGAAGTAATGTCAGACTTGATGTCAGTTGGACTCCGGGGAAGACAGCAGTAGGAATGATAATTTCTTGAATGATGATTTATAAGAGCACACACACACACACACACACACACACACACACACACACACACACACACACACACACACACACATATATATATATATATATATATATTGAAAATTCCGGATCGATAAATTTTCATTGAATGTTTGTTTTTCCAACTGGATTTTATATGTCACAAGTGATTTAAAAAAGCAACGATTAAGGACAATTTGGACCTGAAAGCAAAGAAAATTTAATTATGTTAATAATTCATAATGACTGGCTGTCGCAATTTCGTTAATTTTCTAACGCCCAATTGGGAAATTAATTTTCAAAATGGCGTTGGCAACTTGCTCACCCGGACCGTCAACAACAACATTTTCAATAACTTTCGTACCGGCAAGAGAAGCAAGAAGAGATAAAGGGAAATTGAGAGAAAGAGAGGTGAAGAGAAAGACAGAGAAGTAGACAGATAGAGAGAAATAGACACAAGAAGGGGAGGCATTGAAATAAAAAGAGTAAATGAAATTTTGAAACAGAGAAAGAAAAGGAGATAGTAAAACAGAATAGAAAGAGAGCAAGAGGAAGATCATAATAGGAAGGGAAAGAAATAAGAAGAGAATAAAAGAGGGAGAGAAAAAGAAAGGAAAATTGTGAGTGAGGAAGAGAAGAGAAAGAGGACAGCGGACGAAAGCATGAGAAGAAAAGAGAAAAGATTAGAAAAATACTGGAGTTCTCAGTTCGATGTTCGAAAATAAGCTAAAGCCAGGACTTGGAATGCTGATTTTCATGGCCGGTTAATAGACTCTCCTTATTAGGAGAATAGACACAATGCTGTTTATTCTAATCTGCATTTGAACTGATTTAAACTAGTCTTAATAAATATTAATAATTATACAAAAAATTATGAATAAACAAAATAGAGCTTGCAGCAGAAATACGCCCCATATAATGTTAAGACATGAGTGACAATGATGTTTTAATCTAGCTAATGCCTTACCATTATGTGGGAGATATATGTGGGAAGTATTTCTGCCGCACCCTGTATTTCGTTAAAAGTAAATATAAGAACGCTAAACTGATAAGCCATAATTATCCTCCCATATGTCAGAGATGTGGTTTTACAGATGGATACTGAGAGTACAATAGACAGAACACGTGAGCAGTGAGCAAGAAAATCGAAACTAGAAATACACCCATGCTTAAAATTATAAAGGGAAACATTATGAGGAAGGACGGCTTGGAAAATATAACACTCAATAGTGGGGGACAGGATGGCGAGAGCGGAAACAGTAGATAACTTATCTAGAGAGTTTGTAAGAATTGATAGGAAAGTAGTAACGATAGGGACGGTAAGAAAAATTAAATGTTGTAAAGATAGGAAGAGATGCGGCAGATTAATAATGATCATGATTAACATTATCTTTTTGTTAAAACATTGTGCGATGGATAAAATGAAAATAACACTGGCATCTCATTCTAACAGATATATTTACTAAAATTACACACAAATATCTTGAAATACTAAAGAGTAAATTTATTCAATAAAACCGCCATTGGTTTCAACCAAAGCCTTTAGACTTCTTTGGAATCTCTTGCATCTTTTCTAGACGTCCCCTTATTATGCTGCCATAATCCTTGCGTTCAGTTCATCTTTGATGTTACAGGGAGTTTTGTTGGTCTCTCGTTCAACTGCGCCCCCTCCCCCACACTAACCAAGGGTGTTGCAGTTTGGGGAGTTAGGTAGCCTGATGTAAGGGATGATCTGTCTATATTTCTGAGATGAGGTATTATGTACACTATTTACATTTCTCGGACTATCATCCTCATCTTTGTTGCCATATTTATTACAATCTTTATTTCGCTCACTGGGGTAGACTGTTCTAGTTCCATGTGCCATGTCTAATGGATATCAGTTATCAGTTATCTTCTGTTAATTCCCCACTCCAAATTCTCCACCGCCTTAACCAGGTATTGAACTCACACTCTTTGGGTCCTGTCACTGGATCTAACTAACTTTATCCACTGTGCTATGTGTTCTTGAGGACACATGGCACAGTGGATAAAGGCTTTAGTTAGATGCAGTGACAGGACCTGGTTATGGCGGTGACACCTAACTCTAAATAGATATTTTTCCTCATCCTTAGAGGGAAAAAAACACAGTTTTCCTACCACTGCGATAATAAGACTACAAAAGCGCGCAAAATAGTGTATTTAATTACTTAACATTTAATTTGACACTAACCATCCAAATATTATTAATTTTAAGGGTTATGACTTCCTGTATATTAACAATTTTTCGTTGCTGTGTAAAAACATGTTTCTATGAATTAATATAACAAAGACAGTAAAATGACAAACATTTCCATGGAGTGTGTTCCTTGTCGCCCGGAGATGGGAGACATTTTTCTTTCAATTCTTTTATCCTAATTCCAATTGTAGCAATTCTCTTCATTAAATCCTCAGGCGACACAT